GTAGGGTGGAGGGTCGATGAAAGAGGGGGAGGCCTTCAACAAAATGGATTGACACGGTGGCTGCAATGATGGGCTCAGGTATAGCAGGGATTGTGGGGCTGGCGTGGGATCAGGCAGTGTTTCGTTCTGCTGTGCATGGGGTCGCTATGAGTCGGAAACGACTTGACGGCACTTAACAACAACAATATATATATATAAACCAGAGCTTATTAGTAGTTACAAGGGGTAAGAGGGAGTGAGGAAAGAGGAAGCTTTTGTTTGGAGGCATTTAGTTTATGATAATGGTGGTGGAATATTTTGGAAAAGGGTAGCTATAATGGTGGTACAATATGAAAAATGTCATCAATGTTCCCGAGGTGTAAATGGGGAAGTTTTATGCTTGCAAATGTCTTGCTGTGTGTGTTTTCACCACAATAAAAGTAAAAGCAAGAACAACAACAACAACAAAAACCAGACACAGCTCTGTCAAGAGAAGTCTTGTGTATGAGACCAAATGGACCACAGTTACTGTAAGGCATAGATGAGAAGGTGGGGGCAGTGGGACTAAGTTAACAGGAGTGAAACAATGAGAATGGCAACACCGAGAATACTGACACAATGTGGAGAATGTGATCCATACCATGGAATGTGTTATGTGTGGAAATCGCCAAATGGGAACCTGTTTTGCTGTGTATAGTGTCACCAAAAGTACGATGAAATACTAAAAAAAGAAAAAGTCTTATATTTAAAGGGCTAAAAAGATGGGCCGGGGCAGGAGAACACTAGGCCCCTTCAAGGCTCTTTTCTGTTCCCTTAACTCTGAACTTCAAGGCTACAAATCAGTATCAAATTCATGTCTGTTTTCTGTCATCTGTACTGGTACACTTACATATGGTTTGCTCCAGTCTGGAATCACGCCGTTTCTAAAACATGCTATTTATCAAGTTACATTGACTGAAACATAAAATGCAAAAAAGGAAGGTCAGGACACACCCTTCCAGTGCAGCAGGACCTTACCGTCTGTTTGGTAGTTGAGTGCAACAAGCTGGATCCCGTGGAGCCAGAACATGAGGGGGTTGGGGTTGGAAGAGTCGATGCGGGTGGCAGCGGGGTAGGTCCTCAGCAGCTGGCAGCTGGTATGCTGGATCAGTTTCTGAGAATACCTGCGACACAGACGCTTGGCAGCATTTTCATTCAGCGATGAGATATGATAACATTTGGGAGTTCTAATGATTGCACTAAGGGACGTAGTTGGGTTGAGCGGGGAAGAAGATTCTTCCCAGGCCTGCCGCATTCCTTCGAAGGAACCTAAACTCCCAAAGATTAGCCTCAGATTAGTGTGGAAAAGTTTTAATATTTCAGACAGATTAACCCGAACAACATGCTGATAGAATAATACAATACATCATAAAAACCCCAAAACCAAACCAGTTGCCTTTGAGTTGATTCTGACTCATGGCTACCCCATGAGTGTCAGAGTAGAACTGTGCTCAATGGATTTTTCAATAGCTATAATCTCTCAGAAGTAGATTGCCAGGTCTGTTCTGAAGAGCCTCTGGGTGGACTCAAATCACTTACCTTTCAGTTTGCAGCTAAGTGCTTAACCGTTTGTGTCACTCAGTATTAACATCATAAAACATGTTAAACTTTACTTCTGAAATTATAACTGTCCACCACCTTGAAACAAAATGGAGGCTACTGAGTTTTAAAATGGGATCCAACTCATAGCGACCTCTCCTTGGGTTTCTGAGACAGTCTGATTGCAGAAGTAGATTGCCCAATCTTCCTTCAGAGGAGTGGCTGGTAGGTTTGAACCAACAACTTTCTAGTTAGCAGTCAAACGCCTTAGGCACTATGCTACTTGAGCTCCCTCATAGTAACACCAGTTTAAATTAAAAAGCCTTGAAGTACTTTGAAATATATCTGTCCTGTAGATAATAATTGCATACACAAGTATGTTTATGTTCTTTATAGCCAAAAAACAAGAATCAACTCAAATGTTCTATTAGCAAGGAAGTGGTTAGGGTGTATCCATAAAATGGAATAACACACAAGTATTAAAGACAATAAGATGGTTATATGTACAGAAAGTTAGGTGAAGACTAAAAACAAGTATAAAAGTTATATAAGAATGGTCAGTTATATTCTGTTTGAATTATCTTAAAAAAGATTTTATTTTCCTTGAATAAAACACAATAAACTGTTAATAGTGGTTACCTCTGGGGAGTGGAACCAGGACACTGAGACAGGAAAGGAATTTTAATAATATTCTGTATTGTTTGAGTTTTTAACTATGAGAATTTATTACTTTTATGATAAAAAGTAATTTGAAATAAAATGGATTTATCTTCTGGAATTACCATGGTGAAGAGGGCAGTTCAAGAAACATGAGACTGTTACAAGGTGACTCTGATTTTTACTTTTGAGGCAGACGCTCCTGGAACGTCTTCAGTAAAATGATGTTTGTGGGAAGTGAAAAGTGTACATTGGTGATTTAAAAAATACTTATATCACACTTAGACAATGTGGACATTCATGAAAATAAAAAAAGTATTAAAAAATGACAGGGAAGTGCTGAGACAGTAAACTATCTGAATCATCCAGCATGCGGAGTCAAGCAAAGATATTGTAAGGTGACTTTACTTTTTCCAGATGTTTTGTTAAAGGATGCTGTCTCCCCTGGGCTCATTCTGCCCGGATTGTTGCCAAAAATGGACTTCCTGCTTTTCCTTTCTTTTCCTCTGCTAGAGCCAGATGCATTTAGAGTTGACAAGCCTGTTCCCATAAAATGAAAACAAATAAGCCAAAAACTACAAGCAAGGGAACGTAACATTTTCCATCCCTGTTAATGTTTATTTTGAAGTCCTACTACTCCCTTGCAACCTAGTACAGAGACCCTACTAGCATTCTTTAGTGCTATTAATAATAGTATTGTAGGCAATTATAGCAATGCTTTTATCTTTGTAGCAAATGTGGTAAGAACTGCACGATTGCTACAGAGTGACCACAAAGCCCTGCACACACCATAGCTAACTGTGCACCAGAAGACTCGATGGCAGTGAGTTTGGTTTTTGGTTTTTTAATTACTCCATTTTGGGACATGGAAGAATGGTTAAGAGTCTAAGCTTTAATATCAGATAGTCTGGGTTCAAATGTTGCTGGTATGAGCTTTGAATTATCCTCTAACTTCTCTCTTCCTCAGTTTGCTTATTTCCAAAATGGGTGTAATTGGAGGAACACAGTCATAGGGTCAAATGGGAAATGTATTACGATGACAATAATGGTTCATGGCTTCTCTTTCTCACTCCTGGTCCAACCACTCTCAGGATCTTTCATGCCTGGCACCCTGCAGGAACTTTGCATGTATTTGTTGAATGAGAAAATAGATGTACAGCAATGCAAACCTTGCTCTAGTGCAGGAGAAGTGATGTAAAGGCACCAATAAACCCCCTCCCAGCTCCCAAAATGCCTCCAAATCCTTCCCACTGTCTACAATTGTACCATTAGAAAGTAATTGCTTTAGCTTAAGCAGTACTCTGGCGGTCCTCTTTGAGATGAAAACACACCTACCAAGAATATCATTATGGGAAACAGATTATAAAGGACAGAGTAGTGTTTAAGAGCACAGACTTTGGAAAGGGACACTCGGGTTTAGCAGTGTGACATCATAAGTTACTTAGCCTCTCCACCACTCCTTCCTCTTCTGTTAGGGTTGTGGTTAGGATTTAAGGAGATAATGTATATATATATACTTACTATAGTGTCTTGTTCAGGGAAAGTGCTCAGTCAGTAGCAGACGTAACAATTAAAAAAAAGTGAAGATTGCCCACAGCTTATGGTAGAACTTCTAAATTTTTTTTTTTTTAATTTTATTTTGATTTGGGTGAAGATTTACAGAGTAAATTCACTTTCCATACAGCGTTTCACATAATATACTTTGTCTCATGTCATTGACCAAAATTTACAATGCAACAGCTCCTCTCCCACTTCCTCCCCATAGTTACCTCCTCCCAGTGTCCATCCCTCCATACTCTTCTGTGCCCTGAGCTGTCTCCCTGTGCGTAAGCAGCCCTTCCTTCTCCCATGATTGATCTCTCCAGGGCGTGTGTCTACTTGAGGTAAATATTTAATTCACATGCCTGTACTTTGTTTAGCTGGAAACCACAGGCGTGGCTTCAATTCCAGACCTGCAGGGCAGCTAGGGCACTGAGACCATAGTCTCACTGGTTCCACCAGGCTCTATTGGACCAGCAAACCTGGTCCCCACCTTTTTTTTTTTTTTTTGCCTTCAAATGATTTTGAGTTTTGTTCCACATTGTTCTCCCTCTCTATGCAGGATCTCCTACATCCCTTCCAAGTGGATGACAGTGGTAGCTGGGCACCATCTAGTTCTTCTGGTCTCATAGTTGTATAGGTTGCAGATCGGATGGTGTACCAGTTGCTAGGACTGATTGTTTCCATTAATCTAAATTTTTTTTTTAAAAGAGATGTATAAACTTGGACTAGTGTGGTCTCATATTTACTTAAAACATTTATGTGAATTTGCTCCTTATGCAATTATGTAAGAATGGATTTTCTCTCAAGTAAAACTGATGAGGGGCCAGGTTGAGGTGTCGTGTCCATCCTGGGGTCTTGCACCCATATGGGCACATGCTGACACCCACCAGGGGGCACATAGGCCCCTCTGTGAAAAGCCCAGTTGCTATCCTGGGGTTGGGGAGGAGGCAAGAAAACAAGCTTGGTGGTCAACAAAAGGAAGGAACACTGGATAATGGCAAAGGGTCTAGACAAGTAACCAGAGGAACAAAGACAACCTTCATCTGCCCTCTTGGCCCATGTATTGATGACAACAACAGTGACCAAGACAAAGACAACTGCTATTTCCTGAAAACCAATTACTTTCTAGATAGTGTGCTAATCATATCATTCACTCTATTGCTAAGGTTTATAACAACCCAGGAAGTCAGGACTATTACTCTTCTGTTACAGATAAGGAAGGACCCTGAGGTGCAGAGAAGTTGTACACCTGTCCCAAGTCAAGGCCACTAAATGGTTGAGCTGGGATTTAAACCCACATGGTGGCTCTGATGGCTGCCTCTCTTCTTCAGCTGCATCTCTCTAGTGAATTTTAGGGTCTTTCTTTGTGGCTGTGAGTGAGAATACTTCTGGTTTAGATGTAGATGTCGGGACATCTGATGGTGACTGAGCTTTGAGAGAGAAGTTTTAAGGTAAGCAGCTTGTAGAAGTGTGATAGGCATTTAAGAAGAAATTCACCAGAAAACGTGAGATTTTGTCTTTCCCCAGAAATCTTCATTTGTTTGTGGGCTATAAAAACAACCAATTACTTAATTTTTTAATAGCCCAATATCTCGGTCCTATTTTCTGGGGACAGTGTGGTAACAGAACTTCCAAGATAAGCCTCTTGGGAGCCAGGGCATGAATTCAGATCATCTTGACAAGATGAGGGTTGGCATATTAACTCCCCTTTCTAGGACAAATATATATATATATACTCTCTCTCCCCCCACCCCATATATGTATTCTAAATGTTTACTGACATTTAGACTGGGCCTCCATTCCAGCTGCCTTCCTGTCCTCAGAAATCTTGTGTAAGGGAATCCTTTATGTAAGCAGAGATGAGTTTTTCTGATCTCCATATATTTGTAGACTTTAGTGATTGCCCTCTACCTCCTGGTACCTCATTTTTAGAATATAATTTGGTGGGGTCATTGATAACAAACCCTTTCAAGAGAGGCAGGATAGTACAGTGATTAAAGCCAGGGTTTTGGAATCAGGCAGGCTTCAGAATCATGGTTCCACCATTTCTTAACTGAGATGAACGTAAGTTCACTGTACTTATAGAAATGGCCAACTGGGGATACCAACTCTTCCACTGAAATCCCAGCCTTGGTGGTTGGGGTGAAGCCTGGCTATCCAGCTCAGGAATGGGGCATGTGACTTAGGCTCCAGTCCATCAGAGAGCTGCCATTCACCTGGATACAGTTATTGGTTCAGGGATGGGCAAAGGACCTGATGAGAAACAGTGAAACTACTGCTGGAAGTTCTGGGTACAAGACTTTAAAATCTGGATACATGTAGTGCTAGTTTGCTAAAGTCATCTTGTAACCACAAAGGCAATAGAGCCAACATATGAGAGGAAGAGTGAGAAATGGGAAGAGAGAAAGAATGTACCCAGGATCAAGCTGTACCTGAAGCTTGCTATCCCTTCATTTTTTGACATACAAGACAATAATTTTCTCTCTGTAAGTAAAGACCCAATTTCTGTCACTTTCAAACAAAAGAGTCTTAACTGATACACTATGAGACCTTGGGCAAATTACTTCCTCTCTCTCAGACTTAATTAAAAATGGAGATAATGCCACCAACCTCATTGGATTATTATGAATACTCAGTAAGATAATGTATGGTAAGCACACAGCACAAACCCAGGTACTAAGTGATCAGTAACTTTTAGCTATTAGGTATTACTATTAACTACCCTGAAAAGGCATTGTGTGATCTGGAAAATGAATATTTTATGGTATTTTCATGAGCATAAAAAAGTATAAGAACAATAAATATTTTGAAAAATCCTAAGAGTGATTGTAGCAACACAATTTAGTTATATTGTTATGAGAGCACTCATAAACAGCGTATTTCTAACCTTGAGTATCTTTAAATACTATAGATAACATTGCCCACTCTTACCTGGAAATTTCACTGCTTGGCAATAGATGATGAGGTCAGAAAGCTCCGGTTCAATCTGTCTGCTTTCCTTCTTATTCTGAGGAAGATAAAATTCTTCACCCAATTCCATGTCATAAACCTATCAAGGAGAAGATGCTGTTGTTCTACATGGAAGGTATATGCCACCACTTCTGAGTTCTCAAAGCTCTTTAACTGTATTTCTTTCATGGCGTCGGTATATTTGACCTTGATTTATGCTTATCCATGTACATCTCCTAAGGCCTTAATTAAACAAAACCACTGCCATCAAGTCTATTCCAACTCATGGCAGTCTCCATTGGGTTTCCAAGGCTGTAAATCTTTACACTAGTAGATTGCCTCATCTTCCTCCCATGGAGCAGCTAGTGGGTTTGAACCGCTGAATTTCTGGTTAGCAGCCAAATGCCTTACCTATCATGCCACCAGAGCTCCTTAAGGATTTAATTAAAGTAATCTTGCTTTCTGAGAGCAAGGACTGAATCTAATTCATCCTTGCATCTTCCTTCAGGGCATGGCACAGTACCTTAAATGTGGGTCAGTCATATACTTGTTGAATGAAAAGATGATTATGTACCTTGGGTGCCCAAATTTTCAATGTATTTTGCTGTTCTGTTCTCCAGCAATGTTACTGCTACTGTGTCTATAGACTTGCTCAGAGTCTGTATACAGTGAGGCAGTCACTTGAAGGTAGGTATTTAATTAAATTCAGTTAAAGAAATATTTCGGTATTTCATTTGTCTGTCTTCAGTGTCATTCCATTGTTAATACTTCACCATCTGGCCCCTCATCTATCTTGATCATCCCAAACTCCCTTAAAACTTTTTGTCATTCCTTGAACACACCACTGCTTCTTGCTTCCTTGTCTTTGCCAAGGCTGTTTGCTAGGCCTGAATGCCCTGTTTTCGTTTGCTTGGTCAAATCTTCCTTCTCAAACATCATCTTCCCTGAGAGCCTATGCTTGATGCTCTGATAGCACTGTGTAATCACCACTCTTTGTCCTTGTCTACAAGCACTGTTCACATGCTCATCTCCATCACTGAACCACATCCGGTGCCATCTCCGTGCCTGCCACCCAAAATACCTTCAGTAGGTGTTGGCTACCTGAATCAATGCCTAACCTTCTCCAAATGTCACGTGGGTGCCCCATATCACCACCACGTGTGCTTGGACATCTAAGGGAAAGTGAGGGGAAAAAGTGAAGGGAAGGGGGAAGGACTGGAATCCCACCTAAAACCGACAAGAGTATCACAGTCTCAAGGTAATGTAACAGACACCATTCACCCACCTTTCCTTTGTTCAAAGCAGAGTTATCTGCTTTCTTTATCCTCTTGGAGATTTCTTCATTATACTCAAACTGAAGCTTGTCATTACATGATTTATTTTCAGGTCTGTCTTCCAGAATGTTGTCTGAAAATGAGGTGGCAAGCTCAGCAAACAAGAACTGAATGCTTCACTTAACAGCTGAAAGTCTACATCATAGCCCAGATACCCACATATTTGTGTTTCTCTACAAGACTCAGGCTACATGTTACCAAAATGATGACTTGAACGTCTATGTTGATTGAATTGATGAATTTTACCAGTCATAGTTTTGGTACTGTGTAGTTATAATCTAAACGAGAATGCTCATTTTCATACACGTGATTGAAACAGTATAATTTTATGGGAGATATTCTGTGACAGTACACAAGTCTGGGAAGGATTTAGTGGTTGAAGCCCTTCTAGATGATACATACATTAATCACTTTTCCTTTAACATGAAGCCATTAGCTTCTTTTTTCTCCAGATATGTCAAAACCAGGGGGAAATGAATTATTGTTATTTGTAAGGCAAACAATATCTTTCACCTGAGGACCAGCTGGTGGGTTCAAACCTCCGACCTTTCAGTTAGCAGCTGAGCACTTTAACTACTGTGCCACCAGGGATCCTTCAGAGTTTGTACAATTGTAACCAATTGGAAAGTAAAGTTTTTTTTTTTTTTTTTAACTTTTTATTAATTTATTAAGTGATAATCTTAAGGATAGGAGTTAAAATGTATCCAAAACGTGACAGATAATTTTACTCTTTGTTCTTTTCATGGCATGTCCACTCAAAGTGACTCTAATAAAAATGTTAAAGATATATCATGATTATGCACTTTTGAAAAGGAAAGATAAGAAAACTAATTTCTCACCCAAGATTTGCTATCTCATCAGACCACAAATGCTTAGACCAAAATAGCCTTGTACCAAATCAGGGCCATGCAGGCTGCCAAGAAGTAAGTGGGATAAATCATTTCATCACATTTGTATTCACATACGTGTCACAACTTCATGCTAATCAGGCCTACGAGATCGGAAACAGAATGCTGACATTCATGCAGTTAAAATGCTCAGTTCGAATGGCGTTTACCTTCCTGACTGTTAGGAGCAGGAGAAGCGGTAAGGACATCTGCTACAGAAAAACAGAATCAGAAAAGGGGGAAAAGTGAGGAAAATGAAGTAAAAAAGTCAGATAAATTAAATTAAGGTATTATGCAAAGCTTAATGGCAACAGCTTAGATTACAAGGTAAATGAAGTAAGAAATCTATGAATGTAATATTTTGACTTTATATAAAGGGATGCAAGAGCTAGCGATAAAAGCACAAACGTTGTTAATATGAATCATGCCAAAAGCAGGCAGGTTCATTACGTATTTTCAGCTACTGATCATTATAACACTCCCAACCAAAAAACCAAACTCACTGCCATTGAATCGACTCTGACTCATAGCAACCGCCCATTGGGTTTCCGAGGCGGTAAATCTTTACAGAAGCAGATTGTCCTATCTTCCTTCCGCAGAGTGGCTGGTGGGTTTGAACTGCCAACCTTTTGCTTAGCAGGCAAATGCCTTAGGCACTGTGCCACAGAGCTCCCTCATAATACTTCTAATAAGTCTTTATTTCAAATGTCTAGAAATGGATGAATTTGTTAGAATCATACAATCACTGTGACAGAATATGTCTATGTTAAGGTGGAAATTAAAATTGCTGCCCCAGTGCAAACTCAAAGTGGTCAAGGTAAACAGCAAGGTTGTAGAGAAAGAATTAATGTGAGTTTATTTAATTAAATTCAGTTAAATAAATATTCATTAAGAATTTATTATCCAAAGGGTAGAGTAGCAGTGCCTGAAATACATGCGCCTCACTGGCCACTTCCTTAGGATTTTCTTGATGTATGTAACTTTGTGGCTGGAAATCACCTCGTTTTTTTGGCTGAAAAGGCTTTAGACTAATTCCCTTACTTTATAGGTATGAGAAGCGAGGACTAGCACTGTGACATAGATAAATGGACCATCTGACTCTCTGGATGGGTGTTTGGTCTGGGATGCCTGCAGGGGCCTCAGGAGGCCTGGGAAAGTCCTGCAATTGTATGCAAGATTTTGAGAGCACATTTACTTCTTGGAGGAGACTGGTCACAACTTCCATCTGATTCTCAAAGGGACCTCTCCTTCCAGGAAGTTTAGAAATCTCTGAGGTCCCTTTCTAAACGGCTGGAAGTGGTTCTGATCACAGCAGACAGACTTGTGCTTTCTTCTCATCTCAACTGAAGGGAGTGAAGATGGCAGAGGATAGATAGCACAGAGACGAGTTAGGCGTCACACACCACGACAAGGCATTTAACAACAGCCTAAGGAAGCTCTGGTAGCATAGTGGCTAAGACACTTGCCTGCTAATGAGACGGCTGGCGGTTCAAACCCACCAGCCCCTCTCGGAAGGAAGGTTGGGCAATCCTACTTCCGTAGTGATACTGCCTCGGAAACCCAAGGAGGGGTTGCTGTGAGTCGGGTTTGACTTGACAGCACATAACAACAACAACAATAAGGAAGCCTCTGGAGGACAAGCTTAAACAAGTCCTGGTATAGCTACAAGGCTTGTGTGGGAATTCCAGCCAGAGAACAACTTCAGTGGCATGAGAAATAATCACGTGGTGCTAGTGGCTTTAACCCCTCAGAGTAGAGCCTGGTGGGATGCTCTCTTCCACTCAATACACCCCCACCCCATACACACACATGCAGATTTAAAACAGCATGCAAAACTTAGAAATTCATGAGCTAAGGTAAATTGTAGTCTCTCAATTGAAAAAAAAAATCAGGTCCCTCCACTATCTGTTCATGCTGCTACCTTCAAGTAAAGAACACCTATGATGATGATGATGATGATGATTGATGATGATGATGATAATAATAATAAAAGCCTTCTCCTTTCCTGATTTCAAAAATACAGTGAAAGCATGAGAGTGATTTATGATAAACCAAAAAGTAAATTTATCTTCCACTGGACTAACATCTTGCAGGGGTAAACGACATTTGGATTGGTTGGTTTCTTAAGTGGTTTCTTATGTATGGTTTCATTTTCTATCTGAATAATTTTGTTCATCTATGGGGAGACATCACCATGTCTGTAGTAGAAATCCATGGGGAAGAATAAGTCAATATAAAAATGTTTATCTTCCCACACTTCAGGAATACATTGCAAAGAACTGACTTTGATCCTTTTAATTTCCTCTTGCTTTCCACCCCTCCATTAGAGAATATGTCTCTCAAATGATTTGACAGGGTTTCAGGTGAAGTAATGGGCTTTTAGTTGAGGGCATGCAGCAATCAACTATTACTAATGACAAATATATTAAATGGACATAGTCTTGCATTGTATTTTGTGGGAAGATAGGAATTGGACTGCGACTATTGGCCATGACAGAGGCTCATGGAAACAAAATGTGATGAGGAGACAGCCTGGAATGTGAGAAGTGACTATCTGGAGTAGAGTGGCCTGACTGTCTTAATGGTGAATGTTTGCTGGCTTGGGCATATCTGTATATTAGCTATACTCTGCATATATAAGTTATATAAATAGGTACCTTAGCATTTTCTTATTACTACATTGTTGTCTTTCAGAAGTCACCAAAATGAAACACCATCACCAACAGTATCTGAGAACACATTTTAGTGCAGTCTCAGGCAAATGACACTAGTTTAGTGTAAATGGAACACACTCAAAACCTAATTCTGATGTAAAAAGAAACCTTCACTTGTCATCCATACTTAACATCATTCATGTGACTTCTTTTAATTAATTAATTTATTTATTTTTATTGTGATTTGGGTGAAAGTTTATTTTCCATACAGCAGTTCATAATATTATTTTATTTTTGAGTTGTGCCATCTCCCCTGTTTTGTCTCATTGGGGCCAACCAGAAGGAAATATCTTGGTGTGGTAATGTGAGAACCAGGGTGGGGGTGGAGGGGTGTAAAGCTTCTTTCTTTTCCATACTCCAGGAAAGCCACTGTGAAAGGGGAGGAGAGAGGGAGTACAGAAGTGTGACACTGCCCCCTGCAGGAGATACAGAGAAAGGAAAGAGTCAGCCACAGACTAGATTCTGGCAAGAGGATCAGCTACACCAGAAACAGAAAGGGTCTCTTTGCTCTAATTCCACCTTTTCCTTTGGAAATCCATCTTAGGAACGACTCCTGTGTTATCTCCCACACCCTCCTCTTCTTTCCTTTAGTGGTGGCTGCAGTGGTTAACAGAATCCCATTGCTTGTTTGGTCCTTGCTATGTGACTGGATTCAGAAACTTTTGGACAATATTACAGTTGGTATGTAGAACTCAAGACTTATTTATGAAACAAAACAGACAATCATCCAGGCGTTTCCCTACCCCACAGCATGGCATTCTGTTTCTCTTACCGTCAGAGAGGGATTCATAGTCGTAATCATATTCATCCTCTTCATCTTCCTCTTCCTCATTATTAGCAGGTGGGGCGTTGGGATTCCCACCATTACAAGCTTGAGCTTGCATGGACGCTAACTGATGAGCCTGAAAAAGAGCAATAATTAATGACTGCAGATGCTAAACTGCTAAACCTTCATTTATAGTCTTAAAAGCTACCAACTAACGCTTACCATACTCATTAAGAGCGATTTAACCTATTTTGACTCATTTGTGAGAAGGAAAACAGTCTAAATCCACATGAAATGCAATATCAACACTTAGGCCAAAGTCAACATTCCTGCAGGAGGAAGCCTGGAGCTTTTAGAAATAATCACAATAAAGTTGTACAGGATGTCCTGTCATCCAGGACCCCTGGGGTAAACCTCCAAGAGAAACCTTAGGTTTTTTGGGGAACCAGCATCAATCTAAAATGACTGAAGAAGGGTATCAGCCCATCAGTTTTGGAAAAGTATGTCTCTGCTAGGAAACCATTTCCACCCCCTTCTTAAAATAACATCTAAAGGCCTCTGACCTTAAGAAAATGTTAGATTCCCTATGGACAAAGAGACCAAAAGAAGTTGTTGGTTTAAATAAAGTTTTTTTTCAACAGACTTTATCTGAACCATAAATCAGATGAACAAAACAGGCTTAGAAACTTTGGGAAACTGGATGTGTGCTGCCAGGGAGGTCATGTGCTTCTGTGTGTTCTACTGGAATTACTGGGAGGTGATATCATATGACACAAGTCAACACAAGTCTGAAGATGTGATTTATCAACTCTGGGAAACTAGCACCAAGAAATAATCTGAAATATAGGAAAAGCAACATGCATGAATAAAAAATAGGAAACAACCTAAAAGCCCAACAGTAAAAGTATGGAGTCAGTAAACTATGGCATAGATGTTTAAGAGAAGGAG